AAAGCAGTCGCGCAGCAATTCGAAAGTTTTCTTGCCTCTAAAAGTTTTCAAGACATGCTTCAATCTACTACTAAGTCAATCGTCTCTCAGGTGGTTTGCGATTCAGTCGAAGCTGTTGTTGCTAAAGAAATTGATAAAGCCGTTCCACCGTGGTTAAATTCTATTGCTGATTTGGCAGCAAACTTAATTAAAGTTAAGTCTCATGCTAACGAAAATGAACAATATTCTCGTCGTTGCAACGTGCGAATCTCTGGCATTCCTGAAGAACAAGGGGAGAATTGTTATGATGCTGTCTTGAAATTCTGTGAGAATGATTTAAAGCCTTGGATGAAATAGACAGAACACATCGCGTTGGTAATTCACGAGGTGTTTCGAAACCACGTGCCATAATTGTAAAGTTTCTGTCGTTTCAGACCAAGTTAAGGGTTATAGGTCCTAAAACATCGTCGGAATTTATTATTATTATTATTATTAAAAACTTTGTATGTTCCCCAAAGGGCTTTTCAGCATACAATTACAATACGCAATTTAAAATAAAGCTATGCTATACTATTCAAAATCTAAGTTATGATTGTCTATTAAAACCTTCATATATATGATACTAAGAATTTAAAAGGTGTTCTTTTAGTTTTTTCTTAAAAACCTTGAGTTCTGGAATCTTTTTCAGTTCATCATCAATATCGTTCCATATCTTAACTGCGCGATAATGAAATGTTCTTTGCCCTGCAGTAGTTTTATAGCTTGGAATATTTAAACAGTAGTTATTTCTAGTCTGGCAGTTATGAATATCAGATCGCTTTGTGAATTTATTTACAAGGTAACTTGGCGCAAGGTTGTTCAGACATTTATAAGTCATTATCGTGTCTTTGTAAATAAGTAAGTTTTCAATAGATAGCCAGTTAAGTTCTTGAAGACCCGGTGTTACATGGTCAAACTTTTTAATACTCGTGATGATTCGGCATGCGAAGTTCTGGACTGTTTGCAATTTCTTTAGATTTTTCGATGAGGTATTAGCTCACACCGAAGAACTATATAACAACTTGTTAATCACCAAAGCTTCAATAAGTAATATTAAAGTTTTTTTTATCAAAAGCTCTCCTTTACTCGACTAATTTGACATAATTTGTTTATGCACGTTGACGACAGTTTAGAAATATGGTCATCATAGGAGAGATGTAAATCAAGGTGCATCCCCAAGTCTTTGACAACTGAAACTGGTTTAAGAGTTTTTCCGAGAAAGTTCAGATTGATTTGTGTTGGTAAATTCTGTAGCATTGATCTTGTGCCTACTAAGAGTAATTTGGTCTTGTCAGGATTGATTAATAATTGATGTTCCAAGCACCATTTAGCGGTTTTATACAGATCGTTTTCTAGTTTAGCTATTGTCTGTTGTACGTCTTCGACAAGAAATGCAAGATGGAGTTTTGAATCGTCAACGTAGGAGTCGAGATCACTTGAAACCGTCACAGCTGGTAGATCATTAACGTAAATTCCAAACAAAAATGGTGAAAGAATAGAGCCCTGGGGCACTCCATGGGTTAGTGCGCTAGTTGAGGAAACAGTAGATCCTATTCGTACGTATTGTGATCTGCCCGACAGATAGCTTTCGAACCATTGAATGGCTAGCGGAGACGCTCCTACGCATTTTAACTTATGCAATAGGATTGTATGATTGATGCTGTCAAAGGCCTTAGACAGGTCCAATAAAATGAGGGCTGTTACATGTTTTTTGTCCATGGCTTCCAGCATCTTGACCGTAATGAAGATGTTTAAAGTTTCTGATAAACGATGAGAAACGGCATTTCGGGAAAAAATTTTTAGATGGCCTTTTTTACTCGCAAGGTGCCCCTCAAAGCCTGCCGCCCCCCTCCAACTTTTAGAAGCTTCCTACGCCCCTGGGTCCAACTATTACAGCTGTGTTATGAATATGAATAAAACATCATATTAATTTATTAAACGTAATATGAATAAAACATCATAACGTAATATATTTAAATTATTGCACTTACTTGTATAAATCATAAGAGCTTGCATTTACAGTGAATAGCGTCAAACATTCACAACATAAACAACATAGTTTGCTATTGTTCAAATATGGCGAGTCCTTGCTGTTATTTTTGTTGGAACGCTATGTAATATTTTCGTTAAAAATTGTCAATTTATTCGCCATATTTGAACAATAGTCAATAGCAAACTATGTTGTTTATGTTGTGGCACTGAAGCTTAACAAGACGAACACAGGAACACACAAAAAAATAATAAGGAAGGAAGTTCTTTCATTTTGTTAATCACTTTCCGCGACCTGCGCATAAAAATGGTCACCCGGTTTTGTTCCTGTTTCTTGAGCAGGGTTTCTGTGAAAACTATATCGAGCCACCTTTAGGTGGCTTCCTACAGCTGTAAAGAACTAGCTGCGAAAAATATGGTCTTCACAATGACGCAAATATTTGATATTTATGTGAAATAGTTTTAGGTGTTTTGGAAGTGGAAACGCTTGTGTAATTTTTATACTTCAAGCATAATCGTTTGAAAATTGAAAGAAGCAAATAGTGTGTTGCTATGGTAACAATGTGGCCTAAGTGACACTGTGACAGCAGAGAAAGGTCAAATTTTATGTAATTTAGAAATGTAAGCGATATGTAATTTAGAAATGCTTATATAATATTATTCTTGACTTGCAACCAATTACTTGACAATTAAAAACAATAAAATGACGGTCATGTTCGTGCGAAATTCAATGAAAGATACTTACTGTATATTCTTGCGTGCAAGTAGTAATTTTTTATTTTTTAATTTTTTTTATTTAAATATTTTTTGCAAACTTAAGATCAGTCAATTTTTCTGTAATAAAGACTAACGCCCGTATTTTAAAAGCACACTCAATGAGTGGAAGTTCAATCTGAGCTTCTCTTGAGTGTCATTGCTGTTTTTGAATAGCTGGAGGGCTAGTGTCATACCTTACTATATGACTACTCACCCTCCAGCTATTCGAAAACAGCATTGACACTCAAGAGAAGCTCAGATTGAACCTCCACTCATTGAGTGTAAGTGTGAGTGAGCTTTTAGAATACGGGCGTAAGGTTTTAGCTATTGATTGACATCTTTTTTGTATCATTCCAAGCCAGCAAAGATGACCAAATACGAGCCCATTAAAAATTGACGGTTTGTCGTTGTTGGATTTATTTTCAATAGTTTTCACCCATTCAGCCCAACGGTGGAAAAATGCGTCAGCAGTTTTCTTCAATTTCATCGTCTTTGGTCATTTTCCTTCATAAGCACTGGTTCACAATTTTAGCACTGTTTACAACTTCTATGCACTTGTTTTCTATTGTAAAAGTGTTGAATTCAGTTGGGTTACCGGAAAATGAAATTCGTAGTTTGTCAGTGTTCAATTGCACGCATTCGATCCATTTGGTTTTAGACTGTTCAGATATTTAATCGGCGGCTGTTAGTTGCATTCTACTGCAATGCCAAGATATTTCAGTAACAACTTCTGAACCCAAGGTTCACTCAGCGCACTTCCACAGGCTGTGGTAATATAAGTTGATAAAACAAATTGTGACAACCTGTGCAAGTACCTTGATCGATGATGATATGTTTTGGAGCAACTCCAAGACCAAATCGTGACAATCACGTTTGCATGGTGCAAGCATATATAAATTATACATAAATTGTATGGGTTTAAAATGCTGATGTACAATTTCTTAGCGGTTTGTGCTCTGTCGCAAAATACATCTGGCCTGCGAATACACTCACCAATGATTCATCAAAGTATGATATAAAAATGATAATCATGAATGCATTAGCAATCACGTGACGTCGCCAAAATTTCAACCAGACCTTTCGCATGGGAATGTCGTAAAAGTGAATTTGAATGAACACCGAAATTAAGTTGAAAACAAAATCTATGGCTAAACTTATGGCTATCCTGATTAAAGAACCGTTTATAACTTGCCATGGTGGGACATCGAAGCTCGTTACAAGATAACAGGCCAAATATCCTTGACTCAAGATGACCGTGGAGTACTCGAATAAGATGTTCTGGATTTCTAGATCTGCGTTGAAACGACGAATAAGCGGTGAATTTAAAGGTTGCACTTCTAATCTTGGCCCACAGCATGTTTTATTATAACATTCAACAAAAAACTTCCACATTTTTATGCGAATGTTAAGAGTTGCTTTACTAAGAACGTTCGAGACTCCATGTATAACAATGATAAACCAATGAAAAGCCAGATACTTTGAAGCCCCGACTGCATAGTTCTGTACAATACAATCGAACCCCCGCGAATAAAATAACATAATACAAAAGCACGATCAGGTGTAACAATCTCCGAACTCTTTCTGAAAACAAGATATTTTGCAATCGCAGTAACGGGCATGGTCAATCCTGGCGTGAGTGCGGCTATTATGGCCTTTTTTATCCTGTCTTCAGTTTCTGTAAAATACGTGATGATAACATAAACGTAGAAATAAGCAATTAAACAGCCGGCCAGAAAAGCGAATGAAAGGATGAAAAAAATACGATAGACACTGTAAGATGTTTCCTGATTGACTTTTTTGAATTTCTGAGCGACAAGTATACCACCGCAGACAATGGAAAGAACAAATATGATGTTACCAGGTAATCTAAAGGGAAATCATTTTTTGAGTGAGTGAATATTGATTTTTTAATCTTTATTTCCTCGAACTATACCTATAATGCATGAAATAATTATATCGCTCAAGAGGTTGTCCAATCAGTCGGTCATGCAAACGATGAGTTATATTATTTCGATCGTCATGCTTAATCGTTCATGCAGTAATATTCTCGTCATACATCGTTCATTTAGTTTTTGGTCTGCACAAGGTTGCATGGCCAGAATTTTCAGATTTGATTTCTGAGCATGCGCGAGCTTTGACAAACAAAATGGCGGACGTATTATATATCAATCATAAGGATTGACGCTTTTTTTTAAAAGAGTTTAGTCACACCTATGTATACGTTGTTCCATTGCTTACTTTAACTTCATAGTACAACGGCGTATATAATAAAATAATAAGGTATTATCCCCAAGCTAACGGTGCCCGGGCGTTAGTTAAGCTCGGGGCGAGAATACTAAATCCGGGGAAAGGAATTAGGAAAGTATAGTTCATCAATAATCGCGGGCGCGTGACTACATGGTTCATGGGTGTCATTGCTGGACCTCCCACTGATCTCAAGAATAATGTTTGTTTTGCAGGAGTAGGATAAGCAAGATTTCAATTTTCGAAAATATATATTTGGAAAATAGTTTCATATAATGATTAATGAAATTGTCTTTGAAGCAATTTTTGTTTCAAGAAATGAGAAGAATTGATTTACTATGTGGGAAATCGTGAAACGTCGTAAAATTTGCTTTGAATGTTTAAAGTGGAAGTCAAGTCCGTAATGTAAACAAACTGTTTGTTTACATTTTATATATATATATATATATATATATATATATATATATATATATATATTAAGGTGAAAATGTTCTCGAGTGTGTATTATATAATTTCCATACCCAGCGTAAGCAGAAAGATAAAGTCTGCCGCGGCTGGGTCTTGAACCCGCGACCTTCGAATTACTAGATCGACGCTCTACCAACTGACCTACACGGTCAGACGGATTTAAGACTGGAAATTATGAAATATATACTGAATGTCATAAAAAATGTCTTAAATAGAAAAGAAGGATTATCCAAGCAAAGCGAAACATGATAAAGAAAATAGTAATAACTGAAAATGGATTATTTAGCTATATTTACAACAATGTTTAATATATTAAAACGATTAAGGTAGAAAGGGAAAGACCCGATAAGTAGAAAAAGATTAAGTTAAAGTGTTATGTGAACAGTTGTAGTTCTTTACTAGCTTTAAGTCCAGTGTTAAGAAAAGGTTTGTTGTGTTTCATAAGCAAGAATGTTGTAGTTGTTAGATTTTGTAATGTGAAGTATTGTGTAGCTGCATGTTGAAAACAAGGTTTTCAATAGGAGAAGGGTTGTCAGAAGGCAAAGGAAGATCGTTGAGTAATGTGAACTGGTCTTGTAAAAGTAGCTAAGAATTGAGCATGTTCGCACTCAAAAAAATGTTGGCCCACTGCACTAGAAGAGAGCCTATCCACATGCATGTGTAATCATATATCACATATGTGAAATTTCTGCAAGGTCCCCTCATACCTATGGCTATGACTATTGTTTGTTATGTTTTGTCGTGGTCGGAAGCTCCTAATTAACTATTTCCGGAAAGAAGAATATGATCAGTTGTAAGAGATGTGGTTATATATCTTATAGCTCGGCCTTAGAATGTATTACTTACCTGTATCGAACATTGGCAGCTGTTATCTTATCAAGAAAAACAATTGTATGAACACAATCTAATGAAAGTGCCATCAACTGATATATTACACACATTAAAAAATTCTTTTTGAACTCTTTCAAGCCCCATAGCATGGCAAGGCAGCCCGGAAACCATGCAAATAGCGGGATTAATCCAGCACACATTCCTGCAATACGTGTGATCCGTACGTTCGATGGAACACTGAAATTATTGTGGACCCAAGCTACACACGAGTTAGTTGTATTCAAATCTACATAGACAAGTACAACTATCAGCAACCCTAATATAAAAACAACGGCCATTAGTAATCCGATGTTTGCCTTACAACTTCGGATAAATGATTCGCAGAAATTTCGCCTGCGTTGCTGATCATCTTGCAGCAAAACAGATAAATCTTCTTCATAAGA